CCCATCTCATCTACTTAGTTTCTTGATTTATTCTGATCTCAGCTTAGACACCAATTCCTTCAAGAAATTTTCATAAAGGCTAAACTCTATGGTCTTTCTATGGGTTCCAGTAGCCTCTGTGTTTCATTAAATTGACCTGTAATAACTTGTTTCCTTTTCAGAATCACACACATAATTGAGAACAGAAAATGTTTCTGACGTCACCATTTCCTTTCTTAATGCCGAACATAGTGACAGATTCATTGTAAATATCAAAACATATTCGCTGATGAACTGACTCATGGGATGAAGCTACCCTAGAAGACAAATGATAAAAATAATCCCGTCGTGTCATCAAATATGACAGGCTTATATCTATAGTGCATCATTGTTTTATAAGTTACTTGATAGTCTGTGGTTCTAATATCGATTACAAAACATAATATCTTTGGATTACTGTCGGGTACTTCTAACTCTGTAAGTAGAGACACTCATTAAGATAGAGACATTACTTAATGTCTGTACTTATTGGAACCAGGGAGAGCAAGGCATACAGATATACTTCTGATAAGTCTAGTTCTAATTGAAATTATAACGGTTCCCCAAGCAGGTTACTAGAGGGCTTTGAAAGATCAATGAGAGGACAAGCAGGTTTTAACTTAATTTGACTACCTAGTTCTTAGACACAGATTGAATCGGTCTTAATTGGCCCCGTTGACCTAATGTTATTATCATTTAATCACAAATAACTTCAGATATTGGTTGACCTCATATTTAACATCTAGATTTAAATCCAAAATGTCATGCTCATTTGTTTATTTTTATTTATACTAGTAATCCTTGTTCTAGAATAGCAAGAAGTGCAGCTATGTTTGTTCTTTAACAACTTACTTGAAGAATACTCAATTTTACTTTTACCATTATTTATCTTTGCCTCTCCTCCCTGGGCTGCTGCTGTTAAAATTAATTTGCATTTCAGACCTCAGGATTTTATACTGCTATTAGAGTTATGAAATGTTTTTACTCAGCACAACTAAGAACTGATGTTTTACCTCCCACTAATGGACCTTTAATTAGGCACTGTAATGAAGCATTCTGTCATTCCTTCTTTTATAGACAGAAGATTTTGTATATGCAAGATACAATTTTGACAGAACACCAGGTCCGCTGAACCTTGTCGGCTTACATCTAATAGATCCCAAATTTATTATGCTTTTGTCAGCTGTTGAATTTGTCATTTTAATGACATTGTCCACAGACTTATTATGCTGCCAAAAAAACAGCATCACCATACTGCAAGAATGTTTGTTGACATCTTGATCAACAACTCCTAGGGTCCAATTCTGACTATAATATTACTACTTCGGGACCTTGAGCAAGTTATTTAACCTCTGTCTAAGGATTAATTGGTTAATTTTAATAAGTGCTTTGCAGTAAAAGGTGGGAAGCGCTCTGACTACTAATAGTGATAATAAAATTATAATGCAGCTCTTTATAAAGCATCAGGCTACCTCAGACTGTGATTCTATTAAGTTGTCAGTTAAAACATAAGCTAACTGAACTTATTCTTTGGGAGGATCCAAACTGCTCTACAAATTATGGCCACATGGTATTTTTAAACTTAGTTTAAAAAGAATTAAGAATACTGTTGTTTCAACTAAAGAAATATAAAAACAAGGGGGGAAAATGACATGTTCTATGCTGCTCTACCAATTGGGAACCAAAAGACAGAGGAGAAAATACTAGCTCTAGTTGAACCACATATAGCTACAAGATCGTGGAACACTGATTAAATGTAATTTTACATTTAATGTAAAATGATTTTAAATTGATTGTTCTTTTGTTAACATTTATTCAAATCATTTTTTATGTATTTATTTATGTGATTCTTTGTTCCTTTGTTCATTTGGCAAGTGCCATTATTGGTTGTAGTCTCAAAAAGGTCCCAGACAAGTAAGGGTAATGTACATAATCAACAGGTAAAAATGATCAGAGTCGGAAGAGGAGGGAGAAGTTGATTCAAATTGAGAATTTGAACAATTTCAAAAAGAAAATGGTGTTTAAGTTGGGCAGAGTCAGGGAAGCTGGCTCTATATAGGGAAGGGCAATTGGTGTGGTTTTACTAGAATAAAAGAGAGCCTGCAGACCTAGGATGGGTAGTAATAGGGGGCTTCATTAAGTGGGATAGTAGTGTTGTCCTTCATTGGCATGGAATCATTTGGGGTCTGACAATGGTGGAACAGAAAGCAAACACACATGAGTTCGTGGGTGGAAGTTGTGTTGGGATACTCTGCTGTGTTGAGAGGAGGGGAATGAGGGTGGCGGAGATGTGAGCAATGCGTGAGAAAGGAAAAGGTAGTGTTATAAAACACTATAGGGATGTAGGGATGTCACCAGATTGTATTTTCATGTAAACTCTGGCCTGTGGTGCACATCATTTAAGAAATAAGTGAGGCAATGTGAAAAGGAACATTGGCCAAGGGGAGGGGCATCTACATGTGTCAAGGAAAGGCTAGCCTAATACGGAAAGAATAAACATTTGGAAAATAAATCAGCTACTTAAAAGTAAATGTTTTCTTGCTTCTGCAGAAGTGGCCCCTCTGTACCATCAGAGGCAAGATACTAAGTATTATGCTTGATTCTCAAATAAGCCAATGATTATAGCTTGACTCTGTGCTGTCCCACGTAGTTCCTAAAATGACCAAAGACCTAGGCCACTCTCTGTGAAAGTTCAATGATATTTAATGTAACTTTTGGGGGTGTGACCTGTGACCTCAGCCCTAAAGCTAGATGGCCTGGTTTGAATCTTGGCTCTAGCAAATGCTGAATACGTGATATTCAGAAGTCTGTTTATTTTTTTTCTAGTGTCCTCTTCTGTAGTGAGAGTAAAAACAGTATCTAGTTTATTGATAGGATTAAATAAATTAATAAAATAATGCAAAAAAGGAATTAATTACAAGTGTCCTTGGGTGTAGAAAAATCTCAATAAATGTGAGTATGATAGAAAGCAATTTTATTGTGAATAAAATGAACTATGACTGACCTTTTGAGAATGGATACTAAGGGGCAAAGAAAGGGAGCATGGAGATCTATTAGTAACAATCCAGGCAAGAGATATTGGTAGAATGGAGTGGTGAGAAGTATTCAGATGCTGAGTATATTTAAAGGTAAAATTGAGAGTGAAAACAGGAGATTAAAAAAAAGGGGGGATCAAAAAATTCAATTATTTTGGTCTGGACAGTGAGTACATTTTCTTTTAAAGAGCTAGAAATGACTATAGTACAGATTGAACATCTCTAATTGGAAAGTCTGAAATGTAAAATATTCCAATATCCGACACTTCTGAGTGCCAACATGATGCCACAGTGGAAAATTTTACACCTGACCTCCAGTAATGAGGGCAGAAGATTAGTAAAAAATATATATATATAATTACCTTCAGGCAGTGTATATAAAGTGCATATGAAACAGGAATATTGTATTTAGACTTTTGTTCCATCCCCAAGATACCTCATACAGATGGACATATTCTAAAATTCAAAAAAATCTGAAATCCAAAATACTTCTGGTCTCAAGCATTTCAGATAAGGGAAACTCAACTTGTTGAAAAATCTTGGGGCAAAAACAAATCAGTTTACATTAGAATGATAGCAAGCTGTCAAACAGACAATTAAGTAGAAAAACCTGGAATTCAGGAGATAGGTTAAGCTGGATATGTAAATGTACAGTCATTAATATTTGGATGATATTTTTAAAAAACCCATGCAATTGGGTGAAATTGCGGAGGCAGTAGGTCTCAATTTTGGTCGCATGTGTGAAATATCTGAAAGATTTAAATAATATAGATGACACAACACAGGCTAGAGGAATAAAAATCTTTGTAGACAATGTTTTAAGAAGGATGAAATGATTAACTGCTGAAAGTAGATGTAAAATAATAATTGAGATTTGATCATTACATATGGCAACATGGAGGACCTTAACTAAAATCAATTAACTTGACTTTCATAAAAGGTGTTTCAGCAGAACAGCAAAGACAAAAACTTGACAGAGGTGGGATCAAAGAAAAAATATACATAGAATAATTGTGGATAACAACTATATTTTCAAGTAAGTCTTCTGTTAAAAAAGCGAGAGAGGGAGAAAGCAGAAAAATAAGGTTATTACAAGAAAGACATGGAGCACAAGTGAAGGTTTTTCCAGAAAGAACTTGGCAGACAGGAAAGTAGTCATAAAGCAAGAGAAAGAGGGGACAGTTGTGGGAGATGTGTTCATGAGTAGCCAAGAGGTGTCTGGACATGAGATGGATAGCATAGGATTAGATGTAGCCTGGGGTTCCTAGTAACAAGAAGAAAGACAAATTCATGGGCATAGGAGAAAGAAGCTGGGGGGATGTGTTAATGTGAGTTTGCGGCAGCTCTCTTTAGATGGTTTCTATTCATATCAATGAAATATAAAGCAAGTTTCTCAGCTGAGGGTAAAGTTGAGGAGAAAGCATTGGAGGTTTCATGAGAAGGAGGAGGTGTGACATAGACATCTAGGGGAGTGGGAGAGTCAGTGGATTAGGGAACTGCATAGAAAGGCTTAGTAAGTGCCCATTTGAAATTAGTGATAGAATTAAAATGAGACCAAGCAATATAATTATGTGTTTTTCTTCAGTTGCATTCATCTATGGGATGTCAGTTCAGGAGAGATGGAGAATTGGATTTAACTATGGTTATGGTTTGCTAAGAAGTGCAAAAGAGGGGAAGAGAGAGTAAGGGAGATGAGGGTGTACACAGGGAATGGTTATAATAATGGACCATGGAATCAAAGCTGAGGGAGGAAGAAAGATAAAATCTTTACAATAAGAGAAAGGTGAAGAATGGGTAAATAATTGTTAGAGTGACAGAGACTGAACCTGAAAAATAGGGGATGGCTAAAATTAAGATAATGGAAGGAGTGGATACAGGAAATCAGAAGATTAATGTAAACATCAAAGCATGCTTCCAAGCTAGCTTCTGGGTGCTGCTTTTACTTACAGTACTGACATCTGTCTCCGGTGTATTCCGGCTGGCAGTGGCAGTAAGGCTGGTTTCCAGCAGTCACAATGCAGGTTCCTCCATTTTGACAAAAATCCTCACAGACTGTCTTACCACAGTTTGGCCCAGTGAAACCTAGTGCACAGCTGCAGGTGGGTCTCCCTGTTGGAAACAATAAGTAATAAAAAGCAAATTATTTGATTGAAATAGTTTATTTTCAAGGAATTTTTGTGGGATAAAAGTTGAGAAGCCAGGTTTCTGGTCAAAGTCTGTCCACGATTTACTCTTTAGGCAGTAACAAGACTTCTTTGGGTCTCAGTTTTTCATATGTTCAAGGAAATCTAGGTTAGAAGATAGGCAAGGTTCAATTCAGTAAAATAATCATTTTATGAATAATTAATTATACTTGCATGCATGTATTGTTTGCTTAAAATACTTCTTATTTTTACTTCTGTTCTCATATTGATTTGACCCTTCCAATTATTTTTGTTCTCCTCATATGTGGTAATACAGATTATATTTGCATTAGAACCTAAAATATAATTTCACATTGTTTAAACATCATCTACCAACCACCACTGAATCTACATAAAACATTAGCTTATACATGCTATAAATAAACCTTGTAATAAGTTTAAAGTAGACATGTAATTTATAATAATTAGATTTAGTAACATTAATTTTATTTGACTTAAATACACGTGCTGTGGTTAGTACATAAGTGCTAAATCTTATTTTGTCTAATTTTGATATTGTTATTCATGAGAATGGACTGTACTTGCAGTCTAGTGAATAATAGGATGACTTAGATGTTTAACTTGAGCAGCACATAAGACCAAACATGACAGATCATCTTGAACTAGTTTCCTTTATTTACTCAGTGGGGACTAACATCCGGATGAAAGGTGAACAATCCTGTATGGTGTTTTGAACATAACATAGTTAACTCTTGTATATAAGTTTCTCTAACTGCTCAGGCTGTCAAGGACTGAGTAGAAAATGAAATATGGAACTAGCTCTGTAGGAGAGGAGAAGGAAAAAGAAAACAAAACAAAATGAATGGATATCATTTAAATGATAAAATAATAAGTTTCAAAGTTTGCAAAAATGTAAAGAAATAACATGACAGAGTATAAGAGAGAGAGACTTTCATAGATTTCAGTTAACTAAGACTCAGACAATATCACTCAGTTGACTAGCATTAGAGAATATGCAAGCCATCTCTCTTATCTTTAGATAAGAGAATAGACCTAGAGAATATTCATGCCATTTCTCTGTCATCTTTGTAGACACAGAAGTGTAATTAAACTTACTAGAGAAATGCATGAGTGTCAATCTTACTAAGACTTGAGGTATGAAAATGATATGATTGTTCTCTATTGCTATAGATTCTACATTGGAGAAGTCTAAATCTTCTGAGAAACATTCCTCAGCGAATACAGTACTTACAAATAAAATTCATATACATTTTTAAGAAAATGAGTGAATTGAGGCTCCATAACTTATCAGCTTTACTTTGAAAGGACTCTACATGCTCACAAATGCTAGAGACTGATGCCCTAAATGAACAAAGTAATATATTTTTTTATGGTGAGTAATATTGCTTTAAAACTTAAGCATTTATGAATGTTATTAGTTTGGTGGCAGAAAAATGTCTATTAATGACCTGAGAAGCAAGGTAAATTTTATACACGTTAAAAGCTGAGTAACCTCATATTTTTTTGTTGTTGTTGCCAGAAAATGTTCACTAACTTTTAGTAGATATTTTCCTTAAAATGGCAATATTTTTCTAGTTGTTGATATAGAAACAAAATATCTTCATTGGCATATTCGTAGGTGAAAAACAACGCTACTGGACAACAGAACAAATAATGGTAGAAAATGAAGAGGTTAATAATTGTTGGAACAAGAGTAATGAAAAAATCAAGAGCCCAAAACAACAGAAGTAATTCTTCAATTACAGTCCATAGATGCCTTACAGAGATACAGAACAAGCAAATAGAAATACAAATTACCATGAGCAAAACAATGCAATAAACAGTGTACAAAGTACAAAAACAATTAAAGTACATTAGAACAATCTGAAAAGGTGTCACACAAACATATGATGTGATCACTGTGGATTCATTGTTTCCTACATGTGTTTCTCTTTTTTTTTGCTTAAATCGGGGTTGGGAAAAGAAGTAAAATGAGACAAGTGTGAAAGAAACAAACGGTACCTGCTGAGGTACTTGAAAATTCTTCTATCCCAGTCACTCAGAGAAATGACAATGAGCTTTCATGGTTTTGTCTCATTTACAGCTGTTTTGAAACTACAGCAGGGTGACCAGGTTGTCCACAGCTAGCATATGCCTTAAATCATTCAGAGTGCAGCTGAATTATTTTTAAAAGTTCTTATTTCTCTTCCTTTGAAGAGCAGATTTCTTTTTGACAAGTAGAAATCTTCATATTCAGGGGAATATTATCTAAGTGAAACTGTTTGGTGATACAGCTGATCTTTTGTTTGCTGATGGGAAATGAACCATCTGTTACAAAATTGTATAATGGGCCCTATTTGCTGTTTTCAAGAATCTCTCTAGGTGCACCCTAACAAGTTGCATTGGATTCATTTATAAAGATTTTTACGGAGCAGAATTTGATTTTGATACTTGAAAAAGAAACAGTCCTGTTACAACGATTAAGGTACAGATTTATAGCAGCGATACAACCAGGGAGCTGGGGAGTTGACAGCCCACAAGGGTAGCGCAATCTGAAAGAGCATCAGTTGACCTGAGGAAAGAAGGGGAGGCTCCATACCTTATGTTTTCGGGCTCTAAATTAGTCTAGTTTTGACAGTTTCCTTAGCTTGGACACTAAGAGTAAGGTTTTCAGACTGCCTAGATTCATAGCCTACGGGTGTCAAGTACTAATTGTGGGACCATGGGGAAATAAATGTTTGTATCCCTGTCTATAAAATCAACATAATAATACTACCTACCTCCTGCAGCTGTTGGGGAGAATCATGTAGAATAAATTAGGTAACACATGTGAAGCATTTCTAACTGTACCAGTCATATAGAAAGCACACAGTTATATTTTAGATCTGATTATTATGATTGTTATTATTATTATTTCTATTAAGTGAGATTCACCTTTTTTAGGTAGGACTTATTCTGTGGTTATGTCTATCAAAGTACTTAACTATTTAAGCAAATCATTCTGAAACTTTTATTAAATTTTATATTTTGTTTCTATTATTTATTTGAAATAAAGTTAAATTTGAATTTACTTTTATGGTAGTGATGGGCTAGTGGTGAAATTCTCCATCAACTTTACTCTCAGGCGCTAACATTTTTAGACTTTGAAGAATGAGTCTTTCATCTCCTTTTAGCTTATAAACATGCTCAATTCTATCTTTTCAAAGGAAAAAACACATATACAACAGCAAACAAACCAAAAAGCAAATCTAATATCTGCCATGTCCATCTATCTGTACAAATTTTAATTTTGGTACATCCTTGAGCTTCTTCAAAAGACAATTACACTCTCTGCTCCCAATTTGACGAAGATGTGACAAAGTAAAATATTCAATTATAAAAATCACATTCCAATCCTTCACTGAAGGTACAGTGTTTTTTTTAATATAAAAAAGTATCTTAATATATTACTTTCTTTGTGCTCTCAGAAAAGAGGCCAGGACCCTCAATATGAATGTATTGTTCATATAGACTGATTTTAATTATTTGGTGGTGAGAAAGTTTAAGAACAATGTGTAGTGTTGCCTATATATATAAACATATGTATATATATTTTCTGTAGTTTATATATTCTGTACTTTATGTAAAGTACAGAAAACAAAATGCATTAGTATACACTAATATATGAATATATATGCAATAGTGTACATCTATGTGTATGTATGTGTATATATACATACATATATTTATACATATGTATACACACACATACTTTCAAAACTCACCTCTAATCACTTCCTTACTGAATCCATTAATTACTTCTCCACCATTATCTTCTTCAAATTTTCTCTTTAATTACCCAATGTTGACTAATATCTCTACCTGGAAGATCTTTCTCCAGTGACTTCTGAAACACTAGCTTTATTGATTTATCTTTTTTTTTTTTTTTTTTCTGACTTCCTTTTTGTATAATAGTCTTTATGTTTTCTCTTTCTGTCTCTCAAAAAGTGTTCTTCCAAACTTCTTTCTGGTGATACTACCCAATTTTATGGCTTAAATATTTATCTTTCTATCTAAATGCCTCTGTCCCAATTTTCTGATTCTGGGCTCATTCTTCTTCCTAAACGAGGAAACTTTGTCCTCAATGGCATATATACTTTCACTAGACTATAGCTGCTTTTAGTGTTAGGTCTACTTCATATTGAAATTGCACTCTGTTTGTTAGTTAACAAAGGGTTTGCTAGATGATTACTATGAGGGTTCATTTTGTGTGTCAATTAGCCTGGGAGAAGGGATGCCAAAGTAGCTAGTAAAATATTACTTCTGAGTGTGTCTGTTGAGGTGGTTTTGGATGATATTGGCATTGGAATCAGTAGACCAAGTAAGAAGGATATTTCCTCACCAGTGTGGGTGGCCATCATCAACTTCATTGAAGGCCCAAATAGAATAAAGGTGGAGGAAAGGTGAATTCTCTTTCTTGAGCTGGGACATCCATCTTCTCCTGGTTGAGGACATCGGAACTCCTGGTTCTTGAGCATCCAGACTCAAAGACTTACACCAGAATTGCTTCCTCCTTCCCACCTAGTTGCTCAAGTCATTGGCCTTAGACTGAGAGTTACACAATTGGCTCCCTTAGTTCTCAGATTTTTAGACTTGGACTGGATCACCCGACTGCCTTTGCTGATCTTTGAGTGTGCAGGCAGTATACCATTGGACTCCTCAGGCTCCACAAGCAATGTACCAATTCCCATTATAAATCTCCTTCATATATATATATATATATATATATGGATGCACACATACACATATATATATGTATGTCTTGTTGATTCTTTTTCTTTGGATGATACAAATATATATGCATAAAATAAATGCAGATTAGTTCTATTTATTTATACTATTTTTCTTCATAGATTGAAATTCTTTGTATATATCTTCTAAAATGTTCCAGCAAGTAGTCATACCGGAAAGTCATAAAAATAAACT